GATTCTATGATTCTATGATTTAGTGGAATCATTTAATTTTTTATTTTCCTTCCTCGAATTGACTGACCTGTTGGTTGATGAACCTGATTGTCTACATGGCATTATTAATGTAACCTTTATCTTTCTTCTCCCCTTGCCTCCCCATCAGATCTTTTTAATCAGTCGGTGACTCTCCTTGTGCCCTGTAGCATTTAGACAGCAAGCAGGCAGCAAGTATTCTCCCTTTGATGTGAAAATGCTTTCTAGCTTTCGGCCTGTTTGCGAAGTGTAGTAAGTGCTACTGTTTGGCAAGTGTCAGATACTCACATTGCGTTGTGCGTCTGCCTAATTTTGCCCTTTGTGAGGGTGAGCATCCACAGCAGATCTCTGCAGAGTAGATTTCTGTAATTTCTATCTTGCTTGCCTCTGTTGATTGTGAAAGAGTGAATTTATCCTGCCACTGGCTCAATTTTGTCACTTTATGTCTGAAGAAAGATGCAAAGGCTTGCTTTTCTGTTGACTATAATGCTGCTTTTCTTGTGGGCGACTTGACCATCAGTCTTTACCTCATAAGCCATTGAGCACGTACTGACCCCTCGTCTCTGCCTTCTAGGTTTGCAACCAGGGAGAGGAACGCTCTCCTCCTCTACAATGGGCGCTTTAACGAGAAGCACGACTTCATTGCCCTGGAGATCATTGAGGAGCAAATCCAGCTCACGTTCTCTGCAGGTGAGGCGTCGCTGGAGCTGAGCGTTTCTGCTGGTGGTCAGCAGATCCTCTTGGGCCATGCGGAAATGCACTTTAATGATTCTGTATGGCTGTTTGCTGCCTGGTCAGTTGAGTAACCGGCTGACACTGCACGGTGAAGAACTGAGGCAGGGTGTTGCAAAGTACTCCAGATTGTAGCGGTTTGTGGTGGTAACACTTGCTGTCGTAGGCAGGAGCTTGTCAACATAGCAGTTATAAAAGCCGGAGTTTATGACTGCTATAAAAGATTGGCGCTAGCCTGACAGTTGGCCTCCAAGCCAATGTTTGCTTAAATGAGACTTCATTTCATCATGCTGTGATCAACGTGGTGTGTTTATGTGTTTTTATACTATGCCGTCAGTGAAACTTAGTGCATAAATGTTGTCTAAAAAATACACCCAAGCCAAAGGAAGAGCTAGGAGACACGCGAAAACCGCCACCGTTCCTCAGGGATTGGTGAGGAGCAGTGCTGTCACTGGAATCCACTCCTGTCCAGTAGAAGCACCTCCGCTTGGAAGAAGCTGTAACCAACGAGGAATTTGGGAGAACTAAGCTGCCCACTCGTTGCTGTGCTGGGCTAGGAAACAAGGAATGGAGGCTTTGGAGCTGGCTTGCTTTCTGTGCTAGGACAAAGCCATCATCTTTTGGTGCTTGTGGGAGCAGAGAGAGGGGAAGGCAAGTGAAGCTCAGTGTGGCATGTATCCTTGCCACCATGACCTTCTCCCAGGGGAGAGGTTTCCTTCAGAAAATCGGCCCTGGCAGTGGCAAAGTTCTTCGGTAAGCAGAGGTGCAGCCCACGTCGGTGTTGTACACTCATAGCCAACGACAGTTGCTGCCATCAGACCCCACAGTAGAACCTGTGTGCCCCCATCGATTTAATAGCGATGCTTAAGTGCACATCTGGGCTGAAGATATCTGGTTTCATTTCCCCTTTATTACCCCAAAGATGTCCAGATTAGATTTTAAGCCAGGCTTTTGAATGGATTGGTGTAATGAAAGAACATGCTGCAGTCAGAGAGATGTGCTTTCTTCTGTAGGTCTGCTCTGCTTGTCTAAACTTGAATTGAATCGCTCGGAAGGCACCCTGAGGATGAATGAGGAAAAATAAATTCTACTTGCACTTATATCCATTTAAATGTGGAGGAACTTTTTTTAAATACGTGAAACTAAATTTAGATTTGCACTGCTGCACCTGAGAGCAGGTCTGGTCCTGTATATTGCAAATGGTATTTTCTTTGGAAGGAGAATGGTTTATGTTTTATAGTTTTAAGTGGCTTTTAACGAATAGTACAAGTTTTGGACATCTGATCTGACTGTTTTACCTGTCGCAACAACTTTTTCACAGTAAGCAAAGCAAAAGGATTGGAGACTGTTGATTTTTCTTTTGCAGAAACTTGCTAACTGAATAAAACCCCTAATTTTTACCACAGATTTTTTATCACTAAATGGTAAAAAACATCACAGCGATATGTCAAGCATGTTAATCTGAAATCTGTATTGTTTAAATAATAGAAGTATATAGGATGAGTGTTAAATCAGAGTAGGGAACACAGGAATAATAAAACTTCACACAGGTTAAAGTATTTGTTGCAAATAGAGAGCAGAAAGTACATTTTAAGCTCAACAAGACTGTGAACTTTGTTAGCTTATGGGAGGGAGTTATTTTTCCTGTGGTTTATTATGCAGAATTTTCCAACTGCTTAAGAAGTAACAAAGAAAGAGAAAGGAAAAAAGTCGAAACCCAGCAATCCCTTCTCCATGCCAGGCCTTTTATGTACTTTCCACAGGGATGTTTATTTTGCTGCTACCTCGGAACAGATATGCCTGGTTACTGCACTGGTTCTGCTGACTCAGACCTGACTTAAAAGCTTCAGCTTTTCAGTTGGAATGGCAAGGACTTGCTTTCAAATTTAAATGCTGAAAGGCCGCCAGTAATTTCATTAATCACTGGTAAAATTTTGCTGGGACCAAGGTTACCGTATACAGGATTTATACTAGTGTACTTTTGGATTTCACTTTTGCAGCTCTGAATAGGAATTGGCTTCCCTTCCCTGACAAAATAACCCAACACCATACTCATCGTATTAAAAAAAAATTGTATTTTTTAAAAGAAAAGTATTGGTTTTGGCAGAAATGCAGAAAAATTCATGTACATTTTTGACTCCATTGACCACTTCAGCAATAGCTGTATCTACCCAATGCATCTGCTAGCACACTGCAGAAGTAGAATAAAAAATAATTCACCTGAATGTGCCAGAAGCTATTTTTGTATTTGTGCACTGAAAGAATTCCATGAAATGGGATATTAACTGTGTTGCAGGACAAAAACCCCGAATTCCAGCATGATGAAGTAAGATGGCTGCATCCTGTGCCAGATGAGGGTCTCTCTCTGTTTTGGTTTACTGCAGAGCGGAGTTGCAGTGACAGTGACTTATTTTTTCCCTTCTGCCTGCCCTTGCAGGGGAGACAACCACTACCGTGGCACCATTCGTTCCTGGCGGGGTCAGCGATGGGCAGTGGCACTCGGTCCAGGTGCAATACTACAATAAGGTAAGACTAATTGTGTTGGTGATAACTATTGTTTGTGAAGTAATAGATGTATGGGTCATCTGGCTCTGACCTGATGTATGCGAGTGACCTGAATTTTATTTATTTAACCAGGCACATTGCTACAACTCTGCACACACAGTACTGGTCCTGCTCACCTTGCTCAGGACAAAAATTCACTGTGAGGGCTTTTGAGTTTTGTCTCAGGAAGGCAAAATCAGACCTAGTATGTCCCTTTCAGAACTACCACCAGGGAAACCTTCAGGTACTTGAAACGGATTTAAGTTTTCGTTCTTCAAACCTTCACAAGTGTCACTGTATCTAAAACAACAAATGCACTGATTGGAACTTTTTAAGGAATTGTTCAGTGCAGGAGCCTTTGGTGTAGTAACTGCAAACCACTAGTACAGAATCCTCTGAAGGAAAGCAAAATTGTTCCCTGTAACTGTTTTTTCTTGTGTAAAATGATTAGTTTAGATAGAACAAACTTCTCTGGTTTGGAAAATGTGATTATGAAGTGTTAGACACTTTTCAGTAATCAAGATCTATCCTAGGTCTATCATTTTGTGTCTGCTATATAAAAGGATACTCAGAGGTGAGCTCTGGGGTCCCTGTCCCACAGTGGTGCCCTTGGTGGCTCTTGGGAGCAGGTTTGCTTTGGCAGAACCAAAGGCGGGGGCTTTGTGCAAACCAGTCATTTCGTGATGAACCAAAAAGTGAGCTTTTAGGGTGTATGGTGTCACTGTTTACAGATAGATGTCAGAGCTCTTCTATAAGCTATAACAAAAATTAGAGAATTCATTTAGTTACTGAGAAGCGTTGCTTTTAAGCCTGATGTGATAGCATTATGGGGAATCGCATAAGGAAATAGAGGAGCTTTGTTGGCTGTTAAAAAGGAAACAGGATACTGGTGTAGGAAGCTGAATGGAAGATGAAGGATTAATATGATCAGCAAGTTCTTTATTTCCCAGTGCTGCATCCTTTCATCATAGTTTGTGTGGCAGTTTGAATGGGAGGATTAAAATTTTCTTTGGACTCCTAGATAGGGTCTCCTAGCCTAAGGATATTTTACTGAGGAAATAAAAACCTCTCCTAGTTCTATACTTAAAATGAATATACTTTTAGCTCTCTACTGTCAGGAGCACAGAGAAATAGGAGCAAAGCTTGGTGGACACTGCGAGGCTCTTCCTTGCAAACTGCAACGTTCCATGTTTCCATAGTCTGTGCGTTTCTTAGTGAATCTCTTTAGCAGAGTAAGCAGCACTTGCTGAGGTGGTGGAGGGACACCCCAGCTTTCAGGGTGGGTGAGGAGGGGAGGGCACATCTGCGGGAACAGCAGAGCCGCAGGAGCAGCTCACCGAAGCTGAGCAGATAAGAGACCCAGGCAGCCCCAGGACGCTCTTTAAAAGGCAAAGAGGTCTCACATGGACGTTAAAAATAACCCCCTGCCTCATTTTCAGAGCTTGCTGCAGAGCGTGTTAGCAGCTGGTGGTTTCCTGTCATTAACACATGCACCCTGTCATCGTTTTCTTCTTCCGCCCCAGCTTTTTGGCGGGGACCGAGCCAGTTCCCACTGCACGGGAGGAAACTCAGGGGATACAGGGAGAGCAGAGGGGTCATGCCAGTGACCTCACTGCCTTTGCATGCCTGTGACGTAAAAGGGATGAAAAGCGGGCTCACCGTGTGGGGAGCGTCACTGTGCCCTTTGCTGTCCGTGTTAGAGACCGAGGTGACCACCTTCTGCGCTTAGCAGTGTTTATTCCAGAGTGGTCAAACGTGAGCTGGCAGAAGGGAACTCACCATGCTGAGTAAACACCACCAGTGGGATACGCTAGCCTGCATGTGTTTAGACGCTCTCAGGACTTTCCAGCATGTCCAAGAAGTGCATGCGTTGCACCAGCGCTGCGGCAGTGGAAGAAGGAGCCTGCAGCAGGGTTGAGCCTTTGCCTCAGCTGGTATTTGTTTGCAAAGCAGTTCCTTGGCTACTTCATGTTTTAACAAAGCTGGAAGTAAAGTTCCTGCGAGGAGGTTGAAAAGACAGAGATAATTTAGGGATTTGGGTTGTGCCAAGATAAATGGGATGCTGTGTCGAAACTTGACTCAGCTAAGACATGTTTGAATAACAGAATACCCAAAACTCATGAGTTTGCTTAAATTCTGTACTCATATTATTTGCAGATGTTGCATCCTTCCGCTCTTTCCAAAATCCTACCACACAGCATCAGGTCCTCATCCCATCACAAGTTCAGCTCTTTTTTCTGCTCAGACATGGCGCAGTTTCCGGAGCTGTCTCCCTTGTCCCTGCTTCCAGTTTGCTCTGGCATTTTCCAGCAGCACCCTGTCCCTGTCTGCAGGGCCACAGAGGCCACCTCCACCAGCATCCTGCCAGGCTTCTTGCCCTTTCTTCCTTTCATCTGCCTGCCTGGTGAACTTCTGGGCTTTGCTCCTTTGCAGGCATCTCCTCCTGATGCTATCCATGGGACACATGTAACCCATCATCCCAGATACCCCTGGAGATCAACTTAATTCATTTGCCTATGTCCTGCATGAAAAAACCCTTAAAGAGGTGTTAATACCTGCTCTTTCCTTGTCCCTCATTCGACTTTCATCTCCTTCCATCTGTCTTTTGCTCCATCAGCAGGTTTTGTTTATTTAATAAACATGATCACTTTTTGCCTGTCCATTCATCAGTCCCTTCCTGTGTCACTTCTGTGCTTTTTTGCATAGAAAAACTCATACAGATATTTCAAACTTTTCTTATTATTCACATTCCTACAGCTGAGGGCTGCCAGGCTGCTCATCCTGCTCCTGGGGTCATTACAGCTGTGCCTGTCCTCTTCCTACCCATCACGGTGTCCTTGGGCAGTGACAGGCTTCGTCGAGCTGGGGTCTTTCCTTCTTCTTTGGCCATGTGAGACATGTTGTGATGCAGGTTCAAATAAATAACAATTCAAAGATTTCCTCTTGTGCTCACAGCAAGTGTTTGGGGTCAGGTTCTCGCTTAGCTGCGTTCTTCTTTCCCAGTTCCTTTTTTTTGTTAAGCTTCTTTAAAGTATCTTTTTAAAAACCAAGCTAGAAACTGTTCAGGTTATTTCCTTTTTTTCTGCATTTGTACAGCATCTAGCATGAAAAAAAAGGGTTTGGTCTTTAGAGCTTTCAGATAATGCTGTAATTCACATAAGGAGTATTAGATTTCATCACAGCCGAGGTTAGTTTTTCATCTTTACTTTTTGAGGAGAATGACTAACAGGCTTTGATACATAATCTAAATCACTTCAGTCCAAAGCAAATTTTCGTAGATGAGTTTTCACAGCTCTGAAAGTTGTTCCGCAATCTGAGTTGATCGTGGTCGGATATGAGCAAAGGTTGAGTTGTTCTTGGCACCTGCAGCTCTGTAGATGGTATTTGGCTGAGCGTCACTGGAATTTGGACTCCAAGAGTGGGTGACTTGGATGCGGGGGGCGACTGGTGGGAAACCTCTGCAGCAATTTCCTTAACGCGACACGCAGTTTGGCGGCATCCTGGTGATGCTGCCACCCGGCACAAAGTCAGTTTGGTGATAACTGAAGTGGGTGTAAAAGTGACTCCTGTAAATAGTTTTTCTGTATTCAACTCAGAAGCAATGTGCTTGGCAATATTTATGTTTAGTGTTGTTGAAAAATGTTGTTTTAGAATTAACTCCTTAGCATGTCCCTGCTGCTTAGGGACAAACACTGGAGCCTCGTTGGCAAGAGGTGACTCCAGAGCGGGCTTTGTGCCACTGTGTTTGCAGAGAAACCTCAAACCAGTTCTCCATCAGCTCAAGTAATTGAGACTTTTTCACAAATCCTGGTATATGCAGGCACTGCAAAAGGTAGCAGTAACAAAACTGGTCATATCAGAGGAGGAAGGGAAGCGATGTCTTTTCATTTACCGTGTAGTGATGGAAACGGATGCTTCCTCCCCTAGTAACAGCCAACGCACTTGGTTTCAGTGGAAGTGCCGAAGGGAAGCACATGGATATTGTATTAAGGAAGTGTTGGCTCTGTATGGAATTTCTGGAAGGGAAGACATCAAGGGGAAAAAATTAGTAGCTGTGAAAGAACAGAAGTGAACGAGGGGTGTTTTATAGCCATTTTCTAGTTTTGGTTATATACTAAAAGTCTTGTCAGCTACCCAATAGCAAGGTATCAGTTTACCTGTTAGCAGTGTTTCTTACCATTATAGATGTTTGCTGACAGTGGGGGAAAGGCAGGGAGGAAAGCTACTCACTGACTCTTAGCTCAACCTTCTGGGATCCTGATCTCACAGGCTTTAAAATCAGTGGGAGGCATTAAATTAAAGGTGACCAGTATGTGACCTGCTTTCTCAAGAGCTGTATATATATATTGATAAGAAATTCAGAAGAAATGGGATTTATTTTTTTTATGACTTGGAAGGAAAGGTGGGAGAAGGGGGAATATTTCAGCCTGGCAAATAAAACTGATGAAAAAAGAAGCAACCCATTGCTTGTTCAGGACAGCTGGTGTCAGGGGCAGCAGCAGTGGGAGCTGCACCGTTTGCCTGGTAACATGCTTCCTTTCTACAGGATGAGGGTGTAGTCAGCCTCTGCTGACATTTGGTCCTTATCCCTTCGCTTTCCTGAGCCTGCTGGCATGAGTGACAGTCAGTAGGTTTATCCATGCTGGTATTTGTTTGGAATAGGAGAAAAATCACTGCGATGTTTACTTGTGACGATGCTGTCAGTATCACCTGAACTATCTGGCATTCCTTGCACATACAGGATCATGCATGACTGTAGGCAGTGCTTGGGGCAGGAGATTTTAATGACCCCGGTAGTGGGTGATGGCTTTAATTAAGTGAAAACTTCAAGCCAGTCTCCCAAACTCCTGATAGAAACACAATTTTGTTCAGAATTTGAGATATACCATCAAATTTATGTTAACGTTTTACCTGACTCATGACCTCAGGGTAGAATTCATCATTTGGCACAAGATAAAAATGTTTTTCGTATGGACATGTTC